CACAGGGATGGACATGTGCACAGTATAATTGACATGTAGCTATTATTATTATTATTATTTTATCATCGCATTATGATGTAACATCTTTCCAATGTGCTTTCCAAATGTCTAGTTATTACTCCCATGCATTCAGCTCCAGGAAAATGCTTGGTGTATAGGTAGCATTGCAAAGACCATTTTTCAAACATGTTTTAACCTCTCCCCCAACTTTTTACAAGCTGTGGCCCAAAATAGTTTTTTTTTTAAAATACAGTCATGTCAAAAATACAGTTCATGTACTAACATGAAAACTATACGGGGAAATTACATCATGTAGTCGTATACTTGAAATATAAAAGAACTAAACATTCATGTTTTACATTTTTGATGTACCTGTTTATTCGTTATAAATTATTGATTGCAAATATCTGAACTTCACATGCATCACTATTTGTCAGGGTTATGACAGATGCTTTCATTACACTATGTCACATTTCATATTCCGAGGCATTATCCTAAGTTTGTGTCGTTTTTTTTCTGACCCCATGCAGGAACTGACGTTTGAGAAAGAATGTCGTCTGAAGGAGAGTATGAAGATGATGGGATTAGCTAACTGGATGCATTGGCTTGCTTGGTTCATCAAGTATTTTGTCTATCTTCTCATCCCAACAATCCTCATTCTCGTTATAGTTGTGGTGAGTGCTCCGAGCATCGTGTGGATTTTTCTTAGTTTATCTCTTTTTCCTTCCGACTTATGCACCCATCTGCCAGAATTAGATTTAATTTCCTGATTTTGTAGTAACAGACATCTGTACTTCTGTCATAATGTAAGGCCTATATTGTATTGAATATTTGTTTCATTGATTTGAAAAAAAATCCCAGTGAATTATGATGGTGCACACATTACATAAAGGTATGAATCAATTTATTATTTTGATACATGTTTGGAATTCCAATCAATGGGCACTTACTGTAACATGAGAAATTAACTCATGCATTTGTAATCAAATCAAATTTCTGTGTGATGCTCATGTTAGAAATTCATAGTTTCTCCAATTTCATTTTTTTTTTTATATTTGAAACAAAATACATTTCAATTTTGAAGTCATTACATAAGAAGGGTAACATGAGAATATCATTTTAGAAAATTAAGAAAGACAAATTGAATTCATAATGATGCAGTGGGCTCAAAAGAATATATTCAGAAAATAAATAGATTGAACCCAATATATGGACATTAAAACTTTAAAATTTTCATCTTGAATGTCAACTCTTGCAGGTGGGTAACATTTTCCCCAACTCTAGCATTGTTATCCTCCTGATCTACTTTGTCTTGTGGATGGTAGCGACCATTGCTTGGAGCTTCCTCGTCTCATGTTTCTTCTCGCGTGCTCGATTGGGTCTGATCTTTGGCATGGTTCTTTGGTTCCTAAACTACCTGCCCATGTTCTTCCTGGACTTCAAGTCTTCATCCGAGTAAGTCAGATTTCATATTCTTTCAAATAAAGATAAAAGGGGCTTATGTTCATCCATGATTTATTACATTACACTTTTGGTCCGTCTGGCCGCCTGTTGCAAAAAAAAAAAGTGGAGCACGTTACTTTTACCAATTTCTGTGAACAAATCCCTGTGAAGTAGACATTTAACCTCCATAAAGTATAGATACATCTCGTTATCACGACACAGTATCTGTTGTTTTATTATGCTTTTGTCTTTGACAATAATTGTGAATGTAAACTCTATGTTTAGGAATTCTGCATCGGTTTTGCTCATTCCCATGCCCTGACATAGGGCGATCATTAAATAGATCTCTTACATTGTATATTCTATGCTTTGCAAAGTATTGCGTGAAAGAGAGAGACATACTAATGCTTTTGGTCCTGCACTCGTCAGAGTTAACCGTTTTGTGTATCCATGATTACAGTGCTACCAAGACAGCAGTGTGTCTCCTCTCCAACACCTGTATGGGTGAAGGAGTCTTGGTCCTAGCTCGCTATGAGCTCAAGGGTGAAGGGGCCCAGTTCTCCAACATCGGCGAGAGTCCATCCGAGGGTAGCACCTTCTCCATGGGATCCGTCTTTGGGATGCTCATCCTCGATACAGTCCTCTACCTGCTCATCACATGGTAAACTCTCTCTCCATCGTCTTCTGACTGCTCTCATTAAATTGGCAATATCTATTATTAAATTAATATGAAAACACTTAGAACATGTTTTATTCATCATATCCTAGTTGATGCTGAACTGCTGTACAGTCATAATACAAATATTTTCTTCAAAATGTCTTTAAATGAATAGTTTGTTAAACAGCAATATTTTGGAGATACGTATGATTTTTAAGAGCAAGTATGAAATATACTATTTATTTATTTTGAAAAATTGTTATGGGTAGTATTATTGCAAGTGTTTCTGAGTTTTGAGTTATTTCTTTGAAATACATATATATATATATATATATATACACATAAATAAATCTTCAATATTGTTGGCTCTATAAGCCATTGGAAAAGCTACTCTATAAACAGTCTAATTATCATCATACTTTTACAATCTAAAGTACATGTGCCTGTATACATCAAGGAAGTTACCTGTGGTAATGACAAGGATGAATTGTTTTATGAAAATATTAATTTATTTGTAATCAAGGAGAAATCCAGTTAAATCATCAAGCATTGTTTCTTACAAATGATTATTGGTTTGTTGTGGTTTGATTACAGGTACGTTGAAGGAGTCTACCCAGGGACCTACGGTATCCCGAAACCATTCTACTTTCCTTTCCAACCCTCCTACTGGTGTGGGTATAAGCCAACTAAGGTAGATGTTAACCCTGATGGTGATGATGTCGTTGAGGTAGGTACCTGGTAATAAGATGAATCATGTACGTTCCATTTAAAGGTATTACAAAGTTTTGGTAAGGGGTCATGAATTTGGTTCAAATGAACATAATAGAAGCCTATGCTATTTTACAATATTCAATGATCATTGTCGCGGTTGAAATTGAGTCTAAAGTAATGAAATTGTAAATAATAAACTCTTTATGGTGCCCTCTCAAGACTGATGTTACTTTAGCTCTAAAACAATGTTTCTTGACTACAATCGACCGATTTGCTATTCGCGTTTGGAAATTATATATCAGAACTGCATATTTTGAGATTTTGATGATCGCAGCTGCCATGAAATGGCCTTAACTGATAACAGTGTCTGAAACACAGTTATCTGACAAAAGAAAGCAAAAGAAATACTTCCGGCAGTCCCCCAAGATTCAAACTATATACATTATATATATATATATATATATCATCTACAACCTTTATTTTGATTGTCTCTAATCATATTGATTTGTGTTTTGAATCCCCAGGGTCCTGGCCAAACACAGCCTGCCCATGCTAACCATGAGGATGAACCTACCAATCTAGATGCAGGCATCACAATATCAAACCTCACCAAAGTCTACAAGGTAACATCCTCTTTTACCATTAAGAATTTAAACTTTACCAAAACCCCATTCCTGCCTGAAACCATGTGTTCATTTACAGTTGCTGTAGTAAAATATTTTGCTATGATATCCTGTGGACTATTGCCCATTTTGATTTTCAAATAAAAAGGAAAAGTACTATCAAGATTTATTGTGGTATTTGAAAATTCTTCTTTTTTTTCTTACTGAAACTAACGGCGCACATGATCTGTAGGTTTTATAGAATTCTCAATCATTATGCAAAGTAGTTTGTTGCAGATGCCACCAGACAATACATAGGCAACCAAATGCCCTAATGAGGAAACAAGGAAGAGTATTGTTTTTAAATGGATATTTGTTGTTATGCACATGTACATGTAAGCATGTTTATTGGTACAAATCTGTAAGGATATGCCTATTTTGACTCGTGCAGCGTACTTTGTGTTCCGAGTCCTAGTGTATGTGTAGTTCATTCTTACCCTGCCAGCTAGCACCATTTTCCTGACATCCATCTTATTTGCCTGTATTTTTACAGAGCTCTGTAGGCAGCAAACTAGCAGTTGACAACCTCTCAGTGTCCATGTTCAAGGGTCAGATCACTGCCCTCCTCGGCCACAATGGGGCCGGCAAGACCACAACAATGTCCATCTTGACCGGTCTCTACACACCCTCGTCTGGCAAGGCTCTGGTCAATGGTCACTCTATACTGGACGACATGGAAGGTGTTAGACAGAGCCTGGGACTGTGTCCTCAGCACAATGTTCTCTTTGATCGATTGACCGTCAAGGAACATCTGAAGTTCTTCATTCGATTGAAGGTATGTTTGCTCCTCCTTGATGATGCATTCCCTTTTGATAGTGTAAATAGCAATTTCTAATTGAGAATTTGAACAACATCTTGTCTTTAAACGTAGTTTTTAGCACCCACAAAAAAATGAATTTAGAAGAATCTTTTAGTTAGTAATACTTCATTATTTATCATATACTCTGATGTTTACATAAAGCAAACATGCTAATGACCTCATAGAATAATACCAACATGCATGTAGATACGGACAAATTATCTTTAGAACCAGAAAGCCTGTGTGCATGAAATGTTCATAAATTATGTGATTGTTTCAGATTTGCTAGAGTTTCATGCCGCAAAATATTGAATCTCAAAACAATACCAAATTTTTGCAATTTATAACAATTTCTTGCCATGAAATGTCTATGTTTAACAAGTCTTGAAAATTGTACGTCAAAATAATTTCAGGCTGTATAGTATTTTATTATTTACAAGGCAGACCTCAATGTTGTCATCTTTATTTGCTTATTATTCATCTATTATATAGTTAGTCTACTGCATTTGTGTAGAAGGTATCTTTGACATGTTAACAATGAGTGCATGATTAATTTGAATCTTTGAGATATTATGATAACCAATGTTCAATCTTGTCTCTGCTCTCAACCGACACTTGACCTTAGGGCAAGTCAGGTCCTGATGCTGATGCAGAGATAAACCAGATGATAGAAGACCTCCAACTGGTTGACAAAACAAACACACTGTCTACCAAGCTGTCAGGCGGAATGAAGAGGAAGCTCAGGTTAATTACTGCTTTTTTTTTTAATCCATCAATCTTTCTTTCCAATGTTGATGACTTATCTTTGTAGCAATCTTTAAATTTGTTTTCTCTTTGTTCACTTTTTCCAATGTGACATGTATAAACCCCATTATTTTGATCAGTAGTCGTCTCATTCAGTTTACAGTTTCTTATTGTTAATAGAAATTGGATTGTCCCATGATGTTAATGTTACACTAAATGTGCCATTTTCCCTAGTTTGCTTCCATAAGTAAATTTGTGTTTTATAAGTGAATAATTTGACTGTGTCCTGTGCTTGTGGTTGGGCATGTAAACAGTTCAAATACTGTTTGAAATCTATTAAAACTGGAGCTACTAGAACACAGGCATCTTTAAATTTGTTTCCTGCCCTATGTTTCTATTCTCTTTCCCTCTATCTTATTTACATGACATTTCTTTGACCACATACGATGTCAATTAAACCCTGACCCAAACCCTGACCCTAACCCTTACCCTATCTGTCCATTCACAGCTGTGCTATAGCCCTGATCGGTGGTTCTGAGATCGTCATCCTAGATGAGCCTACGTCTGGAATGGATCCCTATGCTCGCAGGGCTACCTGGGATCTCCTGCTCAAATACAAGGCTGGACGTACAATGGTCCTCACCACCCACTTCATGTAAGCTCTTGATTTTATGGTCAGCGCCCTGTTGCACAAACCTTAACATTGATGGTATCTTTGCCATCAAAGGTAACTACCGTGGAAACCTTGATTTTGATTGGCTGTTGGCCCCTGTTACCATGGTAGTTGCCATCGATGGCAAAGTTATCATCAATGGTGAGTTTTATGCAACAGGCCATGTAAACAGCAGAATTGACTTTTGTGTAAGGGGATTGTACCCTGTAAACTGAACAAGTGATTTAGAACCTCCTTTATATGAATATCCTGATGATATTGGTAATGTTAATGATAAACAGTGGACTTTTAAAGTGATTTTTCCTGAGGATACAAAGCACTGAATTCTCTAATTACTGTGGCTTTAACCTATATATTGTTTTAAGTACTGGTCATATCACCAGATTAGGCTTCATCTAATCAGCAGTTTAGCAAGACATTAATCTAGATATGCTGTCTTTGACCCAGGGGTAGCTGATGATTACCTGGAAAAAAGAAATTCATTGAATTCTTGAGGAAGTCATCATGGCAGCTTGGGTTATGCCCTGGTGATAATTATATTCAACACATGGTATATTAGGAATGAAACTTTATACATCTATTTTAATTCTTTATACTTTAGATATCACCAACAGAATCTATTAAAGCCCATCTGCACTAGGGGGATTAGACCTCCCTGCAAGGTCACTGACAGGTGGTTATCTCATCAAATCAGCTCTCAATTAACATTATGAAAAGAGGATCATGGGGGACCAACAGGCACCGATTAGGCATTGTTTGCTATATAGAGGGCGCAAGTAGCTATAAGTAGTGCAGTGGGCTTTAATTAATTTGTTTATTAATTCATATGTTTACTCATGATCATGGTGAATCTTAATGATTGTAGGGATGAAGCTGATCTGCTTGGTGACAGGATAGCCATCATGGCCGACGGACAACTGAGAGCAAGCGGGAGCTCCCTCTTCCTGAAGAACAGGTGAGAATGACGCTCGATGGTAGATCTATTTCGGTCGACCGTCATGCATTACATAGAGATGAAAGTACACACTGAATATCTAACAGTGTAAACATGTCTGCATGTTCTTTTACTTTTTGACACTAGAGTAAATTATTATGTTCTTAGGGATTCATTTATCACACTTTCATGCTGTATTTGCTATGATTGGCTGAGAAACTCCACCTACATGTAGAATCCTGAAAGTTCAATATGCATTTTGTTTTTGACATTTTTATTGTCCTTTGGGGTTTATTATCTGAACAAGACACAGAACAATTTGAATATGATACTGTTTGTAGTAATCTCCTAACCTTCTTTGTATCACCCATCCCCTTTCATAGTAATGTAAAAGAATGCAATGATGCGGTAGTTCTTATTACTGTCTCTGTCTACATTTTGTAGATTTTCAGAATAGGCCATAGTAGAATAAAACACTCAACTGTTAATGTTCTGAGCCTTTTTGTTGATGTCCATTTGATATCTTCAAGCCCTTGTGTTAAATCAGACAAAGGACAATCTACCTTGTTTTAATATCTCCTTGTAGATTTTCTATTGGCTATCACCCAGTCTTTGTGCAGAATTTCATCAATAAACAATGATTTATTGGCATCTATGTTTGTGTCTCATTGTAGATTTGGTATTGGCTATCACCTGACCCTCGTCCAGAATGAGAAGGTTGATATGAACAGTATCCAGCATATGATCAAGAACCACATCCCAAATGCATCCTTAGAGAGCAGGGTCGGATCAGAGATTGATTACATCCTACCTCGTGAGAGCTCATCAACATTCAAGGATCTCTTCACTCAGCTAGAAAGTAAGGATATCAATCAAACCTGTATATAAAGACCATTCCTCCAGAATAGGTTCAAGCGACCTTTGAAGATAGGTGGCTTTTTTTATAGATTTTTGTTACTGACATTGTTGTTGGTCTTTGGTCAGCAAACAGAAGAAAGAATCTAAAAACACTTTTAGCAATATTTGCTAGAAATTTTACCCATAGTCCATAATTAATGAACTTTGTATATGTTTGTATTGTTTATGTATTTTTTACATGACAATAAATTATCTTGAATCTTGAATCTTGAATATTCGATAACGAAAATTGAATGTGTTTCAATAGAATGTTAGTACAACTATATATGGTTGTTTTTAAGATAAATTTCATAGAGAAGAGGATTTCCTTTCCATTATGCTTATCTTAGCAGTCAGGTAAAATAACCACCACTACTACTACATCCTGTTTACATTTGCTCAGACTGAATCTTGGGCTTATAAATCCAAATATATTTCCTCTTTTGTTCTCTCCTTCAGATGAGCGAGGTCCTCTAGGCATAGACAGCTTTGGTGTGTCAGTCACCACAATGGAAGAAGTGTTCATGAAGGTGGGTGAGATGGTCGACGAGGAAGAAGCCAACGGCGGAGGGATGATGAGGCGTCGGTCAAGCCTCATCCCACCCCCTCGACCCGCCCAATCGGACCCTGTGATCTATACCAATGGTGAAGCAGGGGTCAAGGATCCTAATGTCAAGATCAGTCTGTTTGGCATCAACTCTGGGCAGAGTGGTAAGTTGTCTCTCAGTTCTGGGGGGTGTTTCACAAAGATCATACGTTGAACTTATCTCTAAGTTGGACTTAACAATTATGGAAAGCCATTAGCATCTATGAAAATATTTTGTAAAAGTTATTTTGAAAGGCATAAAATGCTGATTCAAATCATTCATATTTTCTATTATCAAGGAGATTTCATGTTCTTGATGTGGAATTTATGCAAAGTCTAAAATACTTGAATTTTTGCTTTTGAATATATTTTATTTTAAGGCTACAAATGGCTCTCCATAATTTTTAGAGTTGAGTTCAACCTTCAATCTTTATGAAACACCCCCCCCCCCCCCCGGTATATGTGCAAGTCCCTTAGTAATTCAACCTTATAGAAATCAGAAAGAAATATTTTTCATCCTCCACAAATCTTATAGCTGGTTTAGGGATGACATGTCTGCCGTATTAACAGTAGCATTGTAGATTTGGATCTATAAGTGTTTAGATTACCCAGAAACTCCTTCCATTATTCAAAGAGTTTAAAAAAATGATATGTTTCAATTGATGTCCAAGTAATTGTCAAAGCTTTGGGATCATTCACATTTATTGAGGTCTCAGAAAAGGAAGTGCTCCAGGAAAGCGGTTATTTGATTTTTTTTTTCCCCTTCTGATTAATAGATTCTTTTTAGGATGCAACTTTCACATGAAAACATAACCTGGCCATTATCTTTCATTCTCTCAGCTCTGGTGACTGGCATATTCCTCAAGTTCCTTCAGTTCAAGGCTATCTTCATCAAGCGCTTCCTGTGTGCCCTCCGGGACAAGAAGTCTGTCATCACCCAATTCATTCTCCCCATCGTCTTCGTCATCCTGGGTATCGTCCTTCTCAAGACATCCAGTGACCCGACCGACGATAGGGCCCGCCTCCTCAACCTCAAGAACATATCTGAATACGCTCCATCAGGATCCGCCAAGGTCTTCTACGCTGACCTCACAGGAAGTGAACACTTTGAGGTGGGAAGTCAATCTCATATATTGCTTACTTTCGTTTATTGGTCATAGAACTTGCTATCAACAACCACCGCCTGAATTGTGTACAATTCTCTCTGGCAATCAACTGCAGCGATTTCTGTAGCTTTTTTCAAGTATTGTCATGTTTTTTTGTTTTTTTTTATGTAAAGAGGCCCGAGAGGCAAGTTGAGTCAGGGGATAGAGCAGCAGTCATGTATTAACAAATGTTAAGCTTTTCAAATCTATATTTCCACTTCTTTCTGCAGAGCTGTAGTTACTGTTAGTGTGATCACGTGAAATGCTGAAATATCATTTGATTTTTTGAATTCCACTTCTGCATGATTGAAAATTGTAACTCATCTTCATTATCTATTCCCCTGACAGTTTTCCTTGATGTTGACCCTACTGCCATGAAAGCTGATGTAATGTGACTAAAATGTGACTAATCCTCATTTACATTGTGACTAATCAGTAATGATCTTTTCCCTGACAGTATCTTGAAGCTCTGATGGAATCCCTAACGGTTAATCCAGTCAACATCACATCCGACCTGATGAACGCCATGGATGATAATGCAGGGAACTTGATCAATGGAGTTAGTAGGACCTCCAATTCAGAGTGCTGTAACTACACCAACATGGTCCTCAGTGAATACTGCCAGGAATATGTAAGTCTGACCTTTGACATTTGTAGAGGTTGTAGAATATTGAGATGCATTTAATTTCACACACACACAGACACACAAAGAAAAAGAGAAGATAATTTTTTTGTGCACTCTACAAAAAGGATACTACCGGTATATGCATGTACATGTATGATAACTAGAGCGTATTGTGTCATGTCAATTCAATTATGACTTTGATACATATGTATCACAATTACATATTGATCTGTTCTGACAATACTATTAATTTCAGTTCCTTGAATGCTTGAATGCGCCTAGCAGGCAGCCGTCTCTGTTTTTGCTCTGAATTTTACCGTGTTTTACCACTGAAAATTTGAGTCTATGCTGTTTTATTGTTGATCAACTGTCATCTTATGTACTTGCGACACTGCATGACATTTTTGAGGTGATGTATTTATATATTAGATACTGGAAACGGTTTTTCTAAATTTTGATTCAACGGATGTGTACATAGTACATGCAAGTAAAGCCATTTTACACCGGGCTGTTACACATGTACTATACTGCATGGATGTGTGAACGTCGTTCGTGTGTGACTGATTTGCCTATCCGTGGTGTGACATTCATCTACATACAATGAATAGTCTTGATACGCACTGATGGATACTTACAAAGTATACGTTCTTTTCTACATTGCCCTATGTATAACTACTGGCCTCCGTGGACATTCGAGTTACTCTAAACATGAAACTGCGTTTGTTCCCGTTCGTGCTCCTAGCCGAGCTCATAAACAGCTTCATCGTAGCGGATATCACAAAACACCAATTAAGTATTATGCTAATGCAAGTGCAACTTTCACTTTACCTATCATTTGTTGCGGTGATGTGGAATCTAACCCGGGTCCGTTCGAGTTGACATCATGCAATACAAATAAACGATATAAATATACGCGAGGTGAATTGGTTAATATTAACTCAAATTCTTGTGGGAAAAGCTTACAACTACCAGTCCAGACATGGAAAACAATTTCAGAGCTCGAAATTGGAAAAGAGTTTAAAACCCGTCGCGGCTGCAGAGCTGGTGTTCGAAAATTGAAACATTTCAAGCATCCCATTCCGATTATTCTACCTACGGCCCGTACCAAGCTTCCTAAGAAATACCCTAGGTTCCCTCGCCGAAGATGCTTGACTTCTGTCCCAGTCGCCCCTCAGTCTGGGTGCGATTTGCCTTCTTTTCTTTTAAGCAATGTCAGATCAGCATGCAATAAGTTTGATGAGCTATCAGCTGTCATCTCGTATCTTCATGTAGACATTGCAGCTATTACCGAGACCTGGTTTAGGAATGACTGTCCACTCGATAACTTCTCTATACCAGGTTATTATCTCTGCGCTAAATCACGTACTAATCGTATAGGTGGTGGAGTAGCTATCTACGTGAGAGAACTTTTGAATCCTTCTCCAGCTGATGTCCAAGTCCCTATAAACCTTGAAGTGACTTGGGTGAAGATACGCCCTCCTCGTCTTCCAAGATCCATCTCCTGCATTTACTGTGCAGTCGTATATTACCCTCAGCCTGATGTTGAACTTGAGACAGAACTCATAGATCATTTGGAAACAACTATTGATGTTATTTTAACTAATCATACGGATGCAGGTTTTGTAATATTGGGAGATTTTAATCGAATGAATATTGATCCGGTGCTTTTAACCCACTCATTTCGTCAAGTCGTTGATTGCCCTACTAGAGGGGCTCACATTTTAGATAAGATTATCACAAATATTCATCAGTTTTATGATAAACCACAGATTTGTTCTCCTATTGGAATGTCTGACCACAATTCAATTATGTGGTTTCCTCTTAAAATCAAACCTAAATTACCAAATACTACTCGTTATGTATTTAACAGACCCATGACAGATAGTGCAATAAGGGCGTTTGGACAGTGGATATCTTCTTATGATTGGCCAGAAGTGACTGAAGATGTTGATGTAAATGTTCGATGTGGTTCTTTTTATAGTACTTTAAATAATGCAATTAACATTCATTTTCCAGCTCGTAAGGTATTATTGCACTTTAGAGATAAGCCCTGGATGACAGGTGAAATTAAATCTCTGATTCATAAGAGACAAATTGCATTTCATCAGGGTAAGGGAATTTTGTGGAAACGTTTAAGAAACAAAGTAAATTCATCAATTCAGAAAGCAAAAGTTAAATATTACAGGTCACGTATTCAGAAACTTAAGAAAAGTAATCCTTCACGATGGTATCAAGAAATACGCATTCTCACAAAGGGAAGTCGTCAATCACTCAATATCCCAGTTGATGGTGTAGATCCTAGTGAGAGGGATAAAATTGCGAATGCCATAAACGAACATCTCATATCTGTCTCTTCTGATTTACAACCACTAAATTTAGCAGCTTTACCTGCATACTTACCTTCTAAAAGTTTACCCGAGATATGTCCTTGGCAGGTTAATAAAGTTCTTTCTAAAATCAAATGCTCGACGGCGAATGGCCCAGATAATATTTCAGCACGCCTAATCCGTCTTTTTTCTGTTGAACTCTCGGGACCTTTAACCTATATAATTAATGCTTCTTTTAGTCAAGGAAAAGTTCCGGCCTCATGGAAATGTGCTATTGTAGTACCGATCCCAAAGGTGAATCCTGCACGTATTGACAAACTCAGACCTATATCATTAACAGATCACTTTGCTAAAGTCATTGAAGGTTTCATCGCAAAGTGGATGTATCAGGACATTGCCCAACATATTGACCCCTATCAGTTTGGAAACCAGAAATGTTTATCGACCTCACACTGTTTGATTAATATTCTTCATTATGTTTTTTTAAATGCTGAGGTACCAAAAACGTCATCGACGATACTTCTTACAGATTTTCAAAAAGCGTTTGATAGAATAGATCATACAGTTGCCATCAAAAAGTTAATTGAAATCGGTGTACGACCAGCGGTAGTTTACTGGATATCTGATTTTCTCTCTGAACGTAAACAAAGAGTTCGCTATCACAGTGATCTCTCAGAATGGTGTCAAATAAATGCAGGTGTGCCCCAGGGTACGAAACTTGGGCCCCTAATTTTTCTTGTGATGATAAATGATTTCAAATCTTTTGAAAGCATACATATGTTTAAATATGTCGATGATCTAACCCTAGTTGAGTGTCGTAAAACGAACCAAATTTCAAACATGCAAGAAGCTGTAGAATGTTTATCTTTGTGGGCTGATACTAATAAAATGCAATTGAATCCTGCGAAGTGTATCAAAATGGACATTTGCTTTTCAAGAGTACCAGTCAATCAGTCTTCCATCATTCTCGAAAATTGTATTCTTTCAACTGTTTCACAGGTGAAATTACTTGGTGTCACGATACAAAACGATTTGAAGTGGGAAGCCCATGTCAGAGATATTGAAAAAAGAGCGAATGCGAAACTATATATGCTCCGTTCTTTAGGGAAGTTCGGTTTTTCACATGAAGATCTGATTACTATTTTTATTGGCTATATTCGCCCAATCCTTGAATATGCTACTCAAGTTTGGAGCGGAGGCCTCACTAGTGCACAAAAACAACGCATAGAAAGAATACAAAAACGTGCATTGAGGATTATCTTTAGAAAGGATTACCATAGTTACGCAAACGCTCTTACTAAATCGAAATTACAAACATTGGAAAGTCGTCGAAATGACTTATGTGTTACCTTCTTTAAAAAAACTCTATCATGCACAAACCAGTTCAAACAATTTGTACCCCAAAGAGCACACAATAGAACTTTGCGAAGTACTAACAAGATCCCTGAACCCAGATGCAAAACTAAACGTATGCAGAATAGCCCAATCCCAGATTTGATACGCTTGTATAACAAAAGTTTTTTATGATTGTATTTAATATACTTTGAAACAAATAGTATATAATTAATTCATAAATTTGAGGTCTGATTTTTTACCAAGTTTGTCAATGTAATTTTTATGACATGAAGAATGCGATGCATATCTATATTTATATTTTAATATCTCTAATGTTCACCTAATAATATTCATATTTGTCTTGCAATGTATCTTTGTATTTTATCAGCATGTACATAATTGTTTTCCCTCTCTGTCCATCTGTCCCCTTTCTTCCCCTCTCTCTCTCTCTCTCTCTCTCTTTCTCTCTCTCTCTCTCTCTTTATCTCTCTTTGTTTCTCTCTCTCCTGCTTTCCTATCTCTCTTTCTTTTTTAACTCAAATTTTTAAATTGAAATATTGTATAAGATTAATGGTATATACACACTCTTCATAATTATGTAGATTGTAGTGTGACATCTTGAAATGTATACTTGCTTTTTCCAGCAATTTACTCATGTGCAATTCAGTTACTTTTTACTGTGATATCTCTTGAAATGTATAATTGTCTTCACCATCAATGTTTTATTCATGCACAATTCAGTTACTTGTAACTGCGATACATGGAAATGAATCAATAAATACCATTTATCTATCTATCTATCTATCTATCTAACAAACTGACTGTTTTATTTATTTATTCTTTATTTTATTTATATATTTTATATTAAAAAAATTGAGGAGGGGGGAGATGGGAGGTAAATTACATCTTAGGCTGTCACTATTGTAATGTATTACATTCAAGTACATTTAGATGTAGGAATATCGTGTTTATTTTCTTTTCACATCCTTCACCTCTCCCCTAGTTGTACAATGATGGTGCTGGAAGAACTGTATGTGATGATGTCACAACATTTGGTTACTACAACTGTCCAACCTGTGTTGCTGATACTGAGTAAGTATCCCCCTGCTTTTTGTGTCAAGTAATATTGTATTGATCATGACTGTAACCTACTGTGTATGTACGTTCACTTATATTAAACGAGTGCCTGATTTTCTCTCAATTTACCTTTAATGCAGTGTTTATTAAAGAGAAGGTTGAGTTCTGGGAAGAGGTGAAAAATAATTTATGAGCGTTACTCATTCTTATTATGCAAGTGTGGAAGAACATCAGATAAGACATGTTCCCTGAAAAGCATGGCTCTTCAAATGCCTTCATATTCTAAATATGCATGCCATCGTAAAAATCGGGGGGGGGGGGGGGGCCGGCTTTTTACGCCACGTGTTCGTGTAGTCCCATATACATCTTTCTGTGTACAGTGTTTGTAACTTTACCAAGACTTGGCCAAATTTCTTATCATTTTGATGATTCCAGAACCTTGCAATACAAACACATTCTTATATGCTAGATGATCAACCTTTTCTGGTCGGTTCCACACCGTTTCTTTCACAATGCAATCGCATGACCAGAACTCAACTTCATCTTTAAAACTGAAGTTGTAAACTAGAAAGACATATTGATCATGAAATACATTTCTGCTGCATTCTCAATGTATTATTATTATTTTATTGTTGTTGTTGTTATTATTATTAGGCAGTAAGAAAACAGTTAATTAAAAAACAACAGTAAAGTTTGAAGTGATGAATATGGATGCCGGGTATAGAAAAGGATTCACTAAATAAATATCATCCGAAGATCTTCTTTTTCAATTCATGTGACTTTTAATACATAAATAAATAGCACAAAATAGCAAGGATGTGAATTGATTTAGAGCACCGAATACTAGCTTACAAGCCCGAATCTAAAATTCCACGAAGCCATTGTGATTTTCTGAGCTTAACAAAGCTAATAAATTAGATATCGTCAATTCATATAATTATATTCATCCATATTGAATCATCACGGATGCATGTATTGTTCAGGTTAGTAAGATTTCAATACTGTAGCAGTGCTACTCTCCACCCAGGTGTTAAATGGGTACCCTGTAGGATGCGACCGTCATTGTTAGTTAAACAGTTTTTGAGCGTCAAGTAACGCCGGGCTGGAATGCTCCCCAGGGAGTGGAGATTATGCACACAATGTGTGCGGGTAAGTATTGAATCCAATGACCGGGGTAATAGTATATCTGTAAAGTGCTTAGAGACATTTGTATTAAGGGCTATATAAAAGCGGAATATTATTATATATTATATTTTTGTCTGATCCTCGATGACTTTCTTTTCTGATTTCTGCTCACAAATATTCAGTGAGGATGTAACGGATTGTTCTGTCGGAGCCAATTCCTCTACCGTCACCACGGATACCCTCTACCTCTCTAACTACATCCTGGGTATTGCAGACACACAGAACTTCTTCTACGACAATGTGGCCTCCTACATACTATCCACTACCCCTGGGGGTAACACCAAGCTAACCATTGGATACAGTAATCAGGTATGTACTCTCAGAGGTCTTGGTAGTTAAGGGTTTGGATCTGTAGATGAATTGTTTTTAGTTCATGACAAAAAAATCTTGTCTTGAATAAGAATTGTGAAATTATTTTTTCTGATGTTGTGTGTCTTCATTTACATTTACGCCTGACATTAAAGCCCTACTGCACTACTTGTAGCTACAATGTACTTGCTCCCTCTATATAGAAAACAATGGCTTAGCGGTGCCAGTTGGTCCCCCATGATCCTCTTTTTTAATGTTAATTGAAAGCTGAGTTGATGAGATAACCACCTGTCAGTGACCAGCAAGGTGGTCTAATCCCTCCTGGCCAAACTAGTGCAGACAGGCTTTAAAGTATTTTTAGTGGTGTACATTATTAGGTCTTTTAGATGTAAAGAACACTCATCAATAAGTAACAAAATTGAGAGATATTTGCCACTTTGGTATTTCATGTTATGTGTGTTTGCTTTTGTGAATGCCCAAACAGTTAAAGGGAGTGGGTAGTCAGTTTCCATGTACAGAAGGCCGTAATTTGCTGACACCAGACTTGGTGGAAATACCATTAATGGGAGTACAAATCTGCACACAGCAAACCCGTTGGCCAGTCAAGAATTACCCCCTAGTCTCTCGGAGCATGCTCGAAGATTCTTTGGGTGAAGGAAAAGCAAAGCATTACATAAGGTCTAATGGTCATAAAACTCAAGGCTAACCCTGGTGATTGACAACACCTGTTACTGGGTAAACACCCGAACGGTGTCGAATTCCCCATGAGAGCTGACTTCTATGTGACTTTAAGTGTATTGACCAGTCATATTTCTAATGTTTGCCATTTTCGGATAATCCTTTCAAATCTCTGTTTATTAATCTACATCATTGACTTTTCTCTCTCTCTCTCAGGGATTGCATATTCCTGCTGAAGCTCTCAATGGTGCTGCAAACATCATGCTCAAATACTTCACCAATGACAGCTTTGCCATAGAGACTATCAACTACCCTCTACCTAGGAATGCACAGAGTCAGGTGAGATACCAGCTGACCTCTGCAATATTTAGCATTAGACAATACTGATGTGTGTGGGAACTTGAATTTTTGTCTGATTCTATCCTGTAAATTTCTGTTCCGTATTGGCATCTGATATTTTGTTACATGCATACTGTATGGGTATTTTATTCAAGAAGTATTTATATAATTCTTGGATGGCTTCGACTCGTCCAATATTGTCATAGCTCGAGCAATATATTCCTGTATCACACGAAAACAAAGCCATACAATACTATTATTATTATCTATCAGGCTGACTCGCGAAATAAAAATAAAAAAATTGACTTACCTCAGTAAATATGACTTTGTTTTTGTGTGATATCGATAGTTGAAGTTCCTGGATGACTGAGCAATGCGAAAACAGTATTGATCAGTCATTTGGGTACTGCACTAAAGATATTGAATACACTGATTTATCGTTTCACTTGAAAACCTTATATAGATAATAATGTTGTATATTGGTCAAGGCTCGTGACTTTAATACAAGAGGTTCCGAGTTCAACCTGGCAATGCTGGGATAATAACACAGGAAGGACTCACAGGAAGGGCAATATTGATACTGATGTGGCTTCCATAGGTGAATCAGACCAAATTTTCATTATTTACAGTTATTAACATCAAGGAATGGGCCGGGTGGCTGAGGTGAATGCTTTTAAACATTGGTGAAGCTTCTAGCAGTTATTCATATAGTTCCTTATCACATTTGCAAAATAAGTTTTTGATTGAAAGTCAACTACAAGACTTGAAATCAGGGGTGGTATGTTAGTAAAATCATATAAATTGTCAACTAAAAAAAAAATCAACATAAGGACAAGTACTTGGTCAATGTGTGCACAAAGCTGGCTGCATCCACGTACAGTTAACAGTAACATCTGCTCAATCACTGATGCTATGTGTTAGCACTGCACAATTTTTGTTTGTTATGAGAACATAATTTCTCCTAACATTAAAGCTAACATCGTTTACAGAATACGGCCCCTGTTTGGAAGATGTATAAAGAGGATGGCTTGGTTTGGGTATTCTGCTGTATTACAGATGCACAGACACCATACAATGAAATGAATTGTTATTTATTTTCTTGTATGTGTACAGGAAGATGCAGCCGTTGCATCCACGGAAGTGTTCTATTTTGCTCTCCTTCTGCTGTTCGGTCTGGCTTTCCTTACTGCTAGCTTCATCCTTTTCATTGTCAATGAGAAGCAAACCAAGGTAAGGTAGTACGTTGCATGTGAGTGTGGGTACATAAATGTGTAATTTGATCTCCTACTCTTTGATTCGGCTTTCCTCAATGATTGCTTGAGTCTCTTCATTGTCAAGTTCATTGTCAAAAGAAGCAAAGAAAGCTAGGTAAAATAATGGCACGACAATATCATTTTGTTGCATTGGTTGATTATACAATGACAATAATTTTGTATGAAATAAAGAGGAAAATGTTTGGCACTTCATAAAACAGTGGAATAAGCTAAACCACATTTAATTTAATCTGGCTTTATGAATCCACAATGGGAATTATACGAAATATGTTTGTAGTTAACTTGCTGTTGTGTTTATTTGTGTGCCAATTTGATCTGCTTTAAAAAAAAAATTGTATACACCATTGCTTTTATATTTGTAAATTGTTATTCTTGTATGTGTATGTTTAAATGTTCAATTTATTATTGTATTTCTCAATATGACTCTTACAATAAAGAACCTAGTCAGATAATATTTTAAAAACTCTCATAATCCAATATCCGAAACTCTTCTAAACCCTGCACCTCTGTACCTTTTCTACCAAACCCTGGTAGTCCAAGCACCTGCAGTTTGTGAGTGGCTTGGACACGATCACCTACTGGCTTTCCAACTACTGCTGGGACGTCATCAACTATCTCTTCATCTGGATCATCATCATCATCTTGGTAGCAGCTAGCAGTGTAGACGCCTACACGGGGGAAAACCTGGACAGCTTTGTGGTTGTTCTGGTAAGTGACCGTTCCCAAGGCCACTGCTGGTCACTCCTTAGTCAGTGACTATTCCTTTAGCTGGACTTTTAAAGATAATTCAGAAGTGATATCATACATGTACATGGTCAGATCATGATACAAATCACCTATTTGTATCTAATTTTTGTAATAACTTATCACAATTATAATGTTTTCCCCAGAAAATATGTAGAGAGAGAAATATTGTGAAGTAAATGATAAAGATTATGTACTGTAGTTTTTGCCAAACAATTCATGTTTTAATTAGTCTTCTGACCAAAATATTTATTCACAAAAATGATGCATATACATGTACATACTTCATATCTTTACAGTTTTTAAGATCATGCTGTAGTTTCTTTTGTATTTTTATAAGCTATAAATGTGTTACATAATCTCTGTTCTATGTTTGTGTACACAAAATCAAAACATGATTTCTATTCAATGTTGATGCTTTTGTTTGTACATTAATACTTTGTTCTCTATTGTTTCTGCAGCTCCTGTTTGGATTAGCAGCCATCTCTTTTGTGTACCTCTTCTCCCTGCTCTTCAACTCATCTGTGATTGCCTATGCCTTGACAGCGTTCGCTCTCTCCCTCATTGGCATGGTAAGAGACTTTTTTTTCTTTTTAAATAATAATTTTTTTTATATTTATTACACATCTTTAAAATGAAGGGTAGCCCAATCAACAAATAAATATTGGTTTTCGTTGAGGCCCTTCATAACACAAGCAAGACATTTCAACAAATCAAAATATAAATAAATATAGAAAATTACAAAATATGACTTTAACAAACAAAATATTGCAAACCAGGTTATAGATAAACAGATTTGAACATAGAGAATAACAAAATGAGTAATATGTATATGATACAAATATGTAAATGCCATATATCCAAATTAAAGCAAACAGTAAAAAAAAAAAAAAAAATTAACAACAACAAACAAATAAGAGAAAACCATACTGGTAGTCATATTATAACGAGGATGTCTTTTGCCATTTTGCCATTTATCTTTTAAATGGTTTCATATTTTTCTATAAATCTAATGCGTTTGGGCAATTTATTCCAGTTTGATAGTGTATAAATGACTAGACCATGCATCCATCAAGTTTGAAATTATTCTATGGTTAACCAGCATTTTATGTGAAAGTAGCATCATTAGTAACTTTACAATAAGGGCCATTTCTCACATTTTATCATGAGACCATGGGATTTCAATTAATCTCCCAAAGAAATTGTTGGTAATTTAGTTTCAGAGTTATTTGTGCTTGGATTCTTTGTAGTGTTGAGCTGTGCAATAAAGCAGGATTCATTTTGTATTCAATCAACTACTGTTAAGTTCCAGTAAGACTTTATAGTCTTGCAGCACTTGATATTTTGTGATCAGATAAAGATATCCACAAGGTGTAGGCTATACACAAACTTTAGTAGTAGAGTATTTGGGTCTAACACACTTTAATATGAGTGGGACTAAAGACAGGAATAATTTACAATTGTCTCTCTCTTCTTTTAATGGTAGGGTTCTCTTATAGCAGTCTTCATTCTTGAGATCCTGGAGGAAGACTCGGCAGCTAAGTACACAGATTACATCTTCAATCTGCTACCAACTCATGCCCTGGCTCGATCTATCATGTTCATTGCTACCAATGATGCAATCCGGACCAGTTGTGAGAGCTCAAAGCTGTAAGTGATTGATTGATTGATTGATTGCTTGTTTGATTGCTTGTTTGATTGATTGATTGATTGATTGATTATTTGATTGAATACAGCATTGATTGATTGAATACATTCTCAATCTGCTACCAACCCATGCCCTGGCTCGATCTATCATGTTCATTGCTACCAATGATGCAATCAGGACCAGTTGTGAGAGCTCAAAGCTGTAAGTGATTGATTGATTGATTGATCTCTTGATTGCTTGATTGCTTGTTTGCTTGTTTGTTTGATCGCTTGTTTGATTGAATGATTGATTATTTGATTGAATGCACCCTTGATTGATTGGTTACATTCTCAGTCTACTACCTACCTATGCCCAAAGCTCAAAGCTGTAAGTAATCGATTGGTTGGTTGGTCGGTCTTTGATCTATCGCTTGAATGGTTGATTGCTTGCTTGAGTGGTTTTGTTGATTAAGTGGTAGGATAGTTCATCCTTTGATTGTTTTTGAAGGAGCATGACCATTAACTTTCAATTGAAATATTATTTCTTTTTAAAAAAAATTCTTTTGGTTCAATTGTAAGCAATCAATTATTAAGCAACATAGAGCTGTAATCGTTTCTCAAGTCAGTTCAATCTGAGGATATCTATACAAATATGCACCCAGGCGCGGTAAATGGGTACCCTGTAGGAAGAAATTCTGTGAATGCTTGAGCACCTTTTATGGTAGCTCAGCTAAAGCTGGTGTAATGATATGATTGCAGCTAGGGCCCTCAGGGAGAACAGTATGAATACTGATTAAAGAAGACATATTATATGCATTTGTTCTTTCAGGGCTCGAGAGCAGTGTGCCAATAGTAATGTGTCCTATGCTTTGAATAACTTGGATTGGAAGCAGCCTGGTATTGGATTGAACTGTACCTACCTTGCCTGTGAGGCTATCATCTATCTACTACTCACCATCATAATAGAGGTATGTTGCAAAGCTGGGGGGCATTTCATAAAACTTGTCATCAGTGACAAATGACAGTTTTTGTTATAAGCTACTGAAATCCTTCCTTCTGATTGGCTATCAGCAGATTTGTCACTGATTTTGTCATTTGTCATTGAAAAAAGGCCTTGTTAAATGCCCTCCTGTTCAAATCATAAGGCTTCTTATAAGTAGATAAACAATGAATGAAGCTTGCCAGACAGAGATACAAGGGTCTTTGAGCATGTCTGATAATGTTTGGGATTTAATCTATACTACTATATTGATAATTGACTACATACTACTCTATTCTAGATGTAGATAACTTTATTTACTTATTTTGCCTAAATTATTTAGCTCTAAAATTCATCAAATTATTGAATAGAAAATTTATGAGGTTGAGTGGTCATCAAAAGAAAGCTCCTTGTAGTTTATCATCAAGGTATACTTCATTACACTCCCTTTCTCAATATTTTAAATTAGTTTAATTTTATTTTTCTGATGCCATACCACACTCTCCTAAACATGCCCTTTTGTGTTGCTGCCATGAGTGGCATGTTGTACACCAGAAGTGGGGAGAGAATCATGCATAATCTCTCTATAAAATTTCTTACCTTACAACCATATAGGGTAACATATTTTTCTTCTTCCAATGAGCTTTCAAAAATAAATAAGTATTCATTTCCTTGCTTTATTATCCTTTAGCTTGGTTTTGGTTACTCCTGCTGTGTTTCAAATTACTTCAAGGACTCTGGATTGCCCCAGGTGAGATTAATTTAAATTGATTGTTGATAAATATTTTTAGTTTTATTTATACATGTATTTATTATTTGTTTTGACATGTTGACTCCAAACAGATGAAATATTCTCAAGCTCAGTTGTTCAGAGGTCATGTTCTGTTTCCATAACATGTTCCCAGCACAGCGTCTTTTGTATTGTTACTGTTTTTGGTAACCTTCCAGTGTTGAAGGCAGGTTATACTACCACATATTAAAGCCCCACTGCACTACTTGCACCCTCTATATAACAAACAATGCAAAATCGGTGCCTGTTGGTCCCCATGATCCCCTTTTTCTTATGTTAATTGAGAGCTGATTTGATGAGATAACCACCTGTCAGTGACCTTTGCAGGGAGATCTAACCCCCCTGGCCAGTGCAGCTAGTGCAGACAGGGTTTAATGTTAAGGCTACATGTTAAAATTACTGTTTAAGAAAATTCTGTTGAGACAAATATCTGACATGGTTTATTACATTCCCTGTTCAAATTTATGTAAACTTGCCCTTAACTTTCTATGTAGACTATTCCTACTCCAGTGTAAAAAGATTCTATGAGGTTCATGTTTGTCCTTATTGTTGTTTGTAAACAGGATCCAGATGTAGCAGAGGAGAAGATTTTGGTTGATAACACTGATCCACATGACAGCAAGTATGCAGTTATTATCAAGAACCTAGCCAAGGTAGGTACTACACATATGCACAGTGGTATAGAGTATCGAAGCGTGATGACAAACTGACCACGTTGTCAAGGTTGCTGGTTCCAAACAATTTTGTGCTAAAAAATGCTGTGGTAATCACACCGACCCCAAACGCTAAATTTGCAATCAGCTCCAGCCTGTTGGTTGAATGATTTTGCGGTGATCCTCATGTGCAGGCTCGGTTGTTTAGAACCGGTATCCTGGATGACCAATGAATATGATGTTTGCACTTTGATACTCTATATACTTGGTCCTGTCACTATTGATTGGGCACTTGGGGGGGGGGTGGTGGGAGCAGGGGGGAATAAAATTCACTGGGTGGATAAAATGCTAGGGAGCAACAGACCAGGGGGGAGAGGGGTTGTATCAACTTCTTTTCACCTTCCCTTGTCTCCTTTCTGTTATTCTTTCTGTTATTATTCCTTCCAACTCGTTGTTGTTTTTTTTTTTTTTTTAAAGGGGTGGGTTGGGTTGCCATTTGATGGGGAGGGGGATTTTCCACTTGGTCTAGAGCATATTACTTCAGAAGAAGTTTGAATGGTTAGGAAATGTAATGAATACTTGCATGTGACATTTCTTCTTGTCATTCAACCTTCTATTTTGAATGCGTGTATGATATATTTGGCTCTTTCAATCAGGAATATCTACTTTTGTTCAGTTTCATTACTGAGAAAGAAAATTCAAGTAAATGATGATGTAAGACTGAAATGTTATAGTTCTATGTTTGTAATGGTTATGTTGTAACCCTCCATTCCTAGGTTTACCGTGGGAAACGCACACCAGCAGTAGACAAACTCTCTGTTACCATCCCGAAAGGAGAATGCTTTGGATTACTAGGAGTTAATGGTAAGTCCTTGCTGATTTACTCCCTCATATTACGATCAATGCTGTTAAGTTTGTTGAAATAAATTTAGATTTATTCATAATTCTACCTTAGCTTGTTTGAACATATTCCTCATATTGATTTGTCAATGATAGTACATGTTAATTTGTACACTGGGGAAAAGTTGTTTCATCTCATGTCTGACTTGCATTTGTAGTATTATTGATAATAAGTTTATTGCTGAATAATAGTTTAATTAAACATGTTGAATAACAATCGCTAAGGAAAATCAGATTGTTATTTTTTAATTTTTCAATCATATTCCATCATCATTCAAACTTAGTCAAATATTAACTTATGTCGATCTGATACTTGTTTTAGGAGGGAAATGAGTAATTTCACATTTTGTTTAAGTGGGCAGTACCAAATATAACTTCTCAAGCACACATATTTTTAATGTAGGTTAACTCTCCTAGTAATTCCTTTTCCTCTGAACTTTATATATTTATTGTAGGTTGATTAGTATATATTAATTGTAGTTTATAACAACGATACTTGATTGAATGTACTATTATCTGAGAATCACCATTTTTGTGTAAAGCGCTTAGAAACATATTGTATTGAGCACTCTAGAAATACAATGTATTATTATTATTGGTGTATTTCTGTGATTTGCAGGTGCTGGAAAGACAACGACCTTTGGCATGCTAACTGGTGATGTAAGGATGTCAGCCGGTACAGCTTACATGGGAGGCTATGATATACAGACACAAAGAAGAAAGGTATGGTCTTTACTTTTATATTTAAGGCTAATGGTGGAATGATGGCCTGTACAAATTGAGTTGTAATGATTTGTAGACAGAAGATAAAGGAGGAAGGTAGCACCTTATTTTGTCTCCCCCCCCCCCCCCCACCCAACAACAAAAAATAATAATGAAAATGTAAAATATTGCCAGTGTTTCATCATTAGTCTGGAAACTACATGTATACTACAGTTGCAGTGCAAAACACCTGGGCCCTGTTGCGATTCGAGTTGTGATTGATCCAAATCAATCGCAAGTTTGCATTCTCCTATCTCTTACATAGTTGCAATTGATATCAATCGCAAATAAGTTACAATCAACATCAACTCTTTATAAGACGGGACCCTGGCCTAGTTTACTTAAGTATAAATAGTTTACCTGGAATTTTGTCTTTGTTTGATAAACATTTGTGGTGTTTTATTTTTATCAATTGTGTTTTATTTCCATTTATTTTTCTCAGGTGCAACAGCGAATCGGTTATTGCCCCCAGGTAAGATTCTTTATTACATTTTATTGTGAATAATGTCTTTAGTTTGACCATATAAGTACTATTTGAAATCTTGTTGGAGTCGATGTGTGGGTATTGTATATAGCATCCGTTTCACACAAATGGTTCTTAAGTTAAGTTACAATCAATACCAGATGATAGACAGTTGGTTGTATTAGAAGCTGTATTAAAAAGTTGTTAAGTCAGTAAAAAGACGTTAGCATACTATTGCCTCATTTAAGCGATTGATTCACACACAATTGTTTGACGCAGTTTTTATTTCACCCTTTTAAATTTGTAAACTCTGTACGCATGCATTATAAAATCATTAGAAGGTTTCTGGAATAAAATATAATTTTGAAAAAGAAATTTACCTTTGGCAGAAACATGGTCATAAAGTTCTCCTTTCCTCATCCATGTTTGTCTCATCAGTTTGATGCCCTAGTGGAGCGGCTGACCGGCCGTGAGGTCCTCATGTTGTTTGCTCGTCTGAGGGGAATCCCCAGCAATCAAATGATATCTGTGGTAGATCATACCATCGACCATCTCAACCTAAACAAGTGGCAGGACAAACTGTGTGGCACCTACAGGTAATGTATGATACACAGGCAGAGAGCCTGTTCCCATTGTGTCGTTTTGATTTTCTATTTCACAGAAGTGGCATACATCTCTTTTGATTTCAGATACTCCAATTTTCATCACACCATTTAGACTTATAAATTTAGAAAATACCTGTATGATTGGCATTTGTAGGACCGTGCCTTATTCTGTTGACTGGTAAAGATGTATTGGCATATTTAGGGGTATGCTAATATTGGAGCTGTTATTGTGTCTTGTAATTGAATAATTAGAATAACAAACTGATTATCATTTTCCTTTTGTAATACATTATTTATCTTTATTGGAGACTACTTCATTTTAATTCAACATGTATTTGCAATGGGTTTCATCCTAAGTATCTCAATAAGTTACAGGTTTTATTGTACACATAAGTGGTCATGTGGTGTGTGTTCATGTATTCATAAATTCCATACTTGCTTTATATATTTCAAGTTCAACATATTAATACATGTTTTGTCTTTCTTTTGCAGTGGTGGAAATAAGAGGAAATTGAGTACAGCAGTGGCTCTGGTTGGAAACCCACCTATCGTCCTACTTGTAAGCAAACCCATTTTTACCCATCTATTTGCACCCATTGATACTTCTTAGCTCATATATATATATATATTTATATATATTTATGTCACAAATTATAGCATCATTATATGTTTTGATTTCTTCTAGTCACCTACATTTTATAGACATTTTATCAATCAGTCAGTCTTATTCTTATAACCATTTCCTTTTGAATGAATGCTGCATTTATTCATTAGTTCACTACAGGAATAGCAAGTTGTATTAAATCTATAACACTATGCTGCATGTTTATTGTAAAGTAATCAAACGTTTTTTCTGCCATTGAGAGAGATGTAGGTTTGGATTTTAATGTCATTTCATTATTTGAAGGATCGATTACACCACTTAGGTAGAAACAAAGTACAATTGCCTGTGTCCCTGGATTGCTTCGTCTGTAAACGTGTAGCATGTCTTGTATATATATATATACCTGTAGGATGAACCAACGTCTGGTATGGATCCCAAGGCTCGTCGTTATCTCTGGGACTCTCTGACATCCATCATGGAAGGGGGACGCTCTATTATCCTTACCTCACACAGGTTTGACAGCGTTCCATTTACTCTTTAACCCTTCTCAAATCGACATCCATTGTATTTCTTATTAAGCTCTTCAATTTTGTATGACAAGGTATCATTTATCCATAATGAATCGAAGACACAAAAGAAATTTTAATATATATGATAGAAAATTTTGATTTGAACTTAATGGCATGGGGGTGATACATGTACTTGTACAGTGAAATCTGTACATGAAGACCGCTCAAGGGTAACATGAACAGTGACCTTCATAGGTAGGTGGTCTTCATGGGCAGGTTCCTTTTGTTAAGGTTTCAATTAGAAATCATGTTCAAGGAAAACCAAAAATGTGGTCTTTATAGACAGATGGCTTTTCTATACAGGCGGTCGCTAAAGCAGGTTTGACTGTGTAAGGATTTTTTTTTTTTTTTAATCCTATGAAATATTCTCTGTCAAACCACATCTTAAATAGATGTCAAATCTTTCTTCCAAAGTACTCCAATTTATCTCAGAGGAAAGTGTTTTGATGTAAATACATATAATTTCATAACATGTTGAGTAGGATTTGGGTTTGATGCAGAAGTCAGTAAATTCTTGTATTTTGTGTCATCTGTTACAGCATGGAAGAGTGTGAAGCTCTATGTACCAGACTGGCTATCATGGTCAATGGACAATTCAAGTGTCTAGGAAGCACACAGCATCTGAAGAGCAGGTTGGTGACAGAAGAAATATATACTCATTTGATTGATGGATTGATTGAATGTCTGAGTGAACGGATGAATTGAAATATCAACAATGATGAATTGATTGATTAGTAAATGAAGTTATGAATAAGTGGATGAATATTGAGTGAAGATGTTAATGAATGAGGGGAAGAATGCATGGATGGATGGATGAGTGAAGAATACACAAATTAAACATTTCGATTAATGGATATATGAAAATGCAGGAGTATTCATATTTTTTAAAGACCAGATTTCTCACATTGATGTAAAATAGCTAAGACGTAGTGTGTAAACGAGTTTCTAGATTTCTTTCATTTGAATTATTTTGTTTAACTATTTCAAAGACCTGTACAAAAGAAAATATTGGACATGGTCAGTCTCACTTTACACATTTGTGTTTCATGCAAGGTTTTTTGTTTATACATAGTTATAGTTTTCCTAAATACTCCTGTTTAAGCTTTGAAATGTCTAATAAACCATAAATAGAAAGTTTGCATTGATATGAATGATTATGTAATAATCATGATTTACTAATAAATCCATCCTCCTTAACAGATTTGGTACTGGTTACACTCTCATCATTAAGACCAGTACACCAGCATTGATTGCACCCACCAAAGCTTTTGTGGCAGAAGGATTCGAGGGTGCAGTCTTACTTGAACAACATCAGGTTGGTATTCAATAATTACATTTAAGGAACTCTTTGGAATAATAGAATATTATTCCATATGTTTGGACATCAAGATCACCACTAAAATCTGAAAATATTTCTATCAAGTGATAGTTATTGGTTAGGGAATTTTTTTTCTTTCAAATAGATTTGACAAAACTCAGTCAGAAAACGAGTAAAGATAACAGAGATTAATTTCTCTTTAGACACACAACAACCCAATAGCTTGGAAAACTGTCCCAAAAGCTCTTTCCACCAGTTCTGAATAGATTTCCTGAATATTTATGGCTGAAAAGGGGTCCCGTTTCACTGCAGTATGATAAATTCATACTGTATTTCTTATAGGGTATTGTAGCCATCTTTTTTAAAGTTCTGTCTACTGAAAGTGTGTGTAACTAATCATCTAATAAGAGGGGAGGGGGAAATCCTGAATGATTTGGTAATTTGTGAAAAGAAGACTTTCCTTTAGAATTGTGTATACCTTGGCGTGCCACACATACCGACAATGAATAACAGGTATTAACTAGGCACTATCAACCACTGAAATAGTTACAGGTTAAACATTGGAAAGGTTCATCAAAAGCCAGGTATCTTCCTTTTGTATTGCATAAAATCTAAAAATCTCAATTTTAACAACTAAAAAAAGAATTGCTGGTAAGATGTGATAATTAGTCAACCATTTTATGATTTTTCCTTACAGCAATTGGTGCACTACCAAGTGGACAGTGGAACCACCAACTGGTCCTTTATCTTTGGTCTCTTAGAGGAGAACAAAGAGAGGCTAGGTATCGTAGACTACAGCGTCAGTCAGACCACGTTAGAACAGGTCTTCATCAACTTTGCAAAGGATCAACATGTAGATCCGCGTGCCAAGCCTGAATAAGAAGACTACACTGCAAAAGGTTCTCATCAGTTTTGCAAAGCATCAATGTGTAGATCGACATGCAAAGTCTGAATGAGGAGACTACATTGAGGCAAATTTTCATCAACTTTTCAAAGCATTAACAGGTAGCCCCAGGAGGCAAGTCTGAATAAGAATACTAGACTGGGGGAAATTATATAAACTTTATCACATAGATCCACTTGTCAAATGTGGATAAATACACGTAGAGGCAAATTATGAATTGAGTAGTAGCAAGTTTCAAAGTACCTTACTGTCACTATTTGTTTAATGATTATAAGCAAGTGATTGCCTGACAGATAGATAACAATATTGCCTATTTTTTTAATAATTGAAACCATATCAATATACAAAGCAGTTGGAAAAGTCTGAAAGACAATTTTCTATAATCAGAGAATTTTGCTCATAAAGTGGTTTATGAAAACAAGATATTGTAGGATTTATTAAAATCTCCAATGAACAAATTGTTGTTGTTTGAACTTGTATAGAATTGATATCATAAATAATGTTTAGATGTGCAAAATGATATTATATCCAGTGGTTGGTGTGTGATTTCATCATTCAGACCTTAATTCTATACACATTTGCAAAAGTTCACAAATTGCCTTCTCTTGTGTCTTGTATTATCTGCATTCCTTTTTTTATTTTATCTATCTGTATATAAAGATATGAAAACAAATTCCAGCAATTTCTAATTTCACAAAAATCAGCATTGATTAACTTGTTTGTGCATTCAAAAATTGTGATAGATATTCACTGCAATATTTGTTTTAGTCGTGGACTGTACAGAAAATGTCTTGAATTAGTATTCTGTTGTCTACCACCAAAATGTTTATTTGAATGTGATTAAAAAATTCACCTCCTATTTTGTCATTGATATGAATGAGCATATTCTTGGGATAGTCTTGAGAAATTGTTGTTAAATCAAATGAATAGTAATCTGTTAAGTTCCTTGTATTCAGAATATGAATGTTTAATGATATATATGAAGAGGTAATATCTGTATGTTACGTTACTACCAATTGCCTTAGAATATAGTTGTGGAGATACCCTTTAATAAGTAGGGTCGATCACACTAATTGCACTTTGCAAATGATGGAATAGTGGATAGTTTATGTATATTTTTGAGACTTAGTATGTATATTGGAATATTTTATCAAAGCTTCATATTTGGATGCTGAATATTGACAGTAGGATAGTACAATATGCACCATTGTACATGTACATTTGATTGTTTATAGCTGTCCTTATAACACTGACTATGGGTGTGTGTGTGTGTGTTGTGTGTAATAGTATATCAGAGGCTTATTGGTTACATGTATATATATTCAAATGCCAATTTGAATATTTTGCTGATTGTCACTGTTAGAATACGTAAATGTTTGTGTAATTAGAATATCAGACTTTATTGGTTGTTGATTATATGAATATTAAATGCTCCAAGTGCATCATACATAACAAAGTATATGAACTGACAAATGGAGTATTTTCAAAGTAATATTACATTGAATTGAGACCACAGGCTAAGGCTGTACTTTAATGAGGGAAATTCTTATTTGGAGGTTGATATGTGTTATATTGAATTATGGTATTCATTCAATATTTGTTCTATAAATTCAAGGGTATTTACAACATCATTCCTCCTTTTACTTGAGTTATCCCTCTCAAGTTATTTCATGTAGTAGGCTTCTATATCATGTACACCAATAAGACGATACAAACGATGGCTACATACAGAAGAGCATTGTGCAAATTAAACACTTTTGTACATGGTCTATTTATGCAAAGAAAAGGTTATTTTCTTGCACACCATGTCATAGTCATGTTTTTAAGACCGATTATAATTGCAATAGTATATCAGAGGCTTAAAGGTTGTACAAAAATACTTTCATACTTTGAAAGACCTGTGTTTAATAGTATATAATCAGATACATTGACACATTTTAGTTGCTGATTGTAACTGTAAAAATAATATATATATAGGTAAAAAATATGTATTTTTTAAAAATATAGTTCATATGAAGTTAATATTTATTGAAACATCAGAGGCTTAATGGATTACTTTTTTACAATTCTACACACCTCTGAAATATTTTTTGAAACTCAAATGCTCTGATTTACCCCTTAAATGCCAGAGTTTGCAAATATGTTTTTTTTTCGTCCACCAACTTTATTGACTAATTGTTCAGATTTTATTCTGGTGTGTATAGTCACTAATTATAGGGGATATTGGTAGAATGTGTAACAGTACTCTGTCTTGTGTGTTATTTCTTACTGTATTCTCTTTCATTTTTGCACAAATATTTGCTGAATGAACAAGTTCTTTCACTCTGAAATCGTCTAACAACTACTTCTATCGTATATACTGGATATTTATATCATACTTCATAATTCAATGTATTTTACAGTTCTATATGATGTTTTCATAATACGTTTTATAAGAGGTTGTATCTATTATGTATCACTTGTTAAAAGGAGCTGCACAAACATTAGGTTATTAGGGTATTCATGGTGTAAAGGAAGAGTACTATTTGCATGTGCAAGTCATATTTCCATCCAGCCTAAAGATATATATCTTTTGAAAAGCATTGTAAGGAAAGTAGTCTTGCATAATACAAATCTATTCCAATTTTTTTTTTATATATTCATATTTATTATATATTGCAATTGTTCATTATGATACATAGACATTTTTTGCCACTGTTTAGATAATGTAATTTTATCATTCTATGATACCTCCTGTAATGTCAACAATATTGGGGTTGATGTCTAATTTAGTGTACCAGGAGCCTGTAACACAAAGCGTAGCAATTGATTTTATGATTGATTTATCGGTCACACAATCAATTGATTGTAAGTGATGGTCAATTGCATAAATAGCAAAAATTGCTAAGTTATCTGTGTTTTACAGGGGCCCGGTATATTTATTAGAAATTTCGTATATCGCAACTAGTGCTGAGTCGGTTGCAATGTTATGTATACATTTGTGCTGCTGTTTATGAGAGTATCTAAGAATTGGGAAAATATTATATTTATTTATATAGTAGGCAGTGAAACATAGATACAGTTCGGTAGAAAAATAAAATTTTGAAGTGTATATACATTTTCAATTGAATGTAATAGTTGCAAAAGGCATACATTTTAAGCGATGCAATTTGATAGCCCTAAATGCCTGGAAAAAGAATATCCATGTACATATCTTAATTTTGTCAGATACAAAACATAATTGTGTAAACATATTTTTAGTAATTTACTTGCATTTAAATTTGAAGAAATTGGCATTGAAACTACAATATTGAATGCCCTTCAATTTATGACACACTCAGGATCTAAGCTACTGGGAGATGTATACATCTAGTAAATTATAATGTTGCCTTTCGATTCTTACATGTTCTTTGTGACCTTGTGTAGTTTTACCATGATTCTAGAAGTGCACTTAGGAATATATAAACACTCCTCGTCTTTCGTTCCACTAGTCGTTATATATTAACCACTTTATAGATTGATGTATATTCACCTACTTGTTGTCTTTCGACTCTTCAAAGATTTTGTTGAGTTAAGTGCTGAATATATAGCTATACAATACATTGGAAGTGCATCTTTACTTTGAAATGCAAGTTTTGTTCTGTCTGCCTAGAGCAAGAAGGACGTTTGTGTAGAAGGATGATTAAACACCCTTCTAACTCTCATCCTATAAATGCAGAACCCATATGAGATGAGCACTGACAGGTGTATACATGTAATATCATATGAAGAACATGCCTTTAAAGGCACACTGTCCTACTTGTTGGTACTTGCTCCCTCTATATAGAAAACTTCCCCAATCGGTGCCTGTTGGTCCCCCATGATCCTCTTTTTCTTATGTTAAATGAGAACTGAGTTAATGAGATAGCCACCTGTCACAGTGACCTCGCTGGCTCGCTTGGTGTTCTAATCCCTTCTGGCTGAAGTAGTAAAGCCTGCCTTTAATAGGCTCTGCTACATAGTGTATACTTCATGAAGGATTGACACCCTTCTATCCCTAGTCAAACTGCAAAAGTGACCAAAAAAAAAATGCACAGAATATATGTTTTTTGCCTATTTTTAACTCTAAATATATTTTTCATCTATCTTTGGTTCCATAACAAAATAGGAGGAAAATAGTCTAGTTTTATAGGAAATACCATAAGAGTGTAGAGAAAATAGCCAACGACCAGGGATGTCTAAACATCTTTTATGAGCTCTGTAAAAAGACAAGAAGACTCAAATTACTTACATCTTGGGACTATACCATATTTTTGTACTTCATAAAAGACTAGACTTTCCATTTATTAGCATTATGAGGTTGAGTACCATTTCTTTAGTCTGCAACATTTTTCGTACTTGATAAAGGGTTAGTACCCTTCCGTTTCTGAACACATAAAGGCACTATGTATACATGTAGTATTTTAGTATGATACTTTGCACTGTATTTCAACGCTAAGTGTCTAAGGTGCACATTATTGAAATTAATATCCAGTTATTTTGAGTGAAAGCAAAACAAAAAATAAATGGATGGGTGAAACAAGTTGCTAATCATTGGGATTTTTATGACCCTGTCAAATAGGAGATTGTATGATGTTTGGAAAATTTGAATTGATAAATGGAACATATATGTATGATGAAATCTTAAATGTTCTTAATGTCTATAAATTGGAAAAAGTACAGGCATTGTATTGTACTACTGTGTCTTGAGGACGGTCTGCAGAAATTTGCAGTTTGTGTAAAAAGAACAGTTGTGCTATTGTCTTATCAATTCACCACCGATTTAACATTCCAATTATTAAGACATGTATCTAAATTTTAAACTCTTCACATTTCTCTGATTGTCCATCTGAATCTATGAAAACTGTCCTGACTTCATTCAAAGTACCTTCCTGTCATGGTTTGCTTGCTCTTCAATCCATCGTGGAATTGACTGCCTCTTTTCTGGATATTATACAGTGAATGTAATTTGAACATAGAAAAAAATTTAGTCTTGATCATATGAGATTGCGAATAACTTGCAAAATTACATTGTAATTGGGGATATTTACCAGAATGGTTCCTCTTTGAATTTGACCGGTTTGATTTTTGTGTTTTTCTCACCAAATGACCAAATGTGTATATTAAAATGAACTACCGGGTAATAAATATTAAATATATGTTCTTCACCAAGTCTTTGTTGACTCAGACCATTTTTCTTATATGTAATACACTCGGCCTTGCCTGAATATTAAGTGCTGGAGAAGGCACTTAAACCTTTATATAGTCACTGCACCGTTTTCAAAAACGAAAAGTTTTGTGTCACGTTGCTAATCCCAAATCCATTACAGAAGATTCATTTTGTCTCTAAAAATTTGTGAGTGAGAGAAGCGAGCGAGGAAAAAAAATGACATTTTTTTGTATGGTAACATTTTTATTTAGTACACAAAACACACCAGATAAGATATTGTATTATGGATGCAGACACCTTGCTGGCCAATACATGAATACAAAAATCATATGTTTGATCACCTCGATACCCAAAGATTCGGGCATCTCATTCCTAATTGTTCCAAGTGAGCAAAACAAACAATCTTGGTAAAAAGGTAATGTTTATATAAAAATATGAGATATATTTGGGCACCTCGCTGTCAAAGAGACATTCTGGCATCTTGTTGCCTTATAATGTGGGTATTCAGGCACTCCACTGCTTAAAAGCAGACTATTTTTTAATGTTGTGAGCGAGCGAAGGAAGAAAGATGGAATTAGTTTATATTTTGTTTTCAAAAAGTTCACTTTATTTCATAATGGAAACAATAATGGATCTTTGATCTATTTTCTCTTGCGGCACCCCTAAATATGTCTAATTGCAGGTACACGTTGAAAAACACTGATATATTGAACTCTGTTTATTAGCACTATTCATTGTTTAATGGAGATATAAAGGGTCTCATCATAAGTTTGACATGTATTGAATTTATTAAACTTCATTGATGTACATAAAAAATCCGTTTATAAACATATAAATCATATAAATCAATTTACAATGCACTGTAACAATCCAATATTCTGTTTGTAAACATATACATCATACAAATCAGTTTACAATGCAGGGTAGCAAAACAGAAGGAAAATTATATACAGCAGAAAAAAGTCTTTTTTTCTTCTTCTTGTAATAACATGACACATAATGCATAAAGTAAATAATATAATGTACCATAGTACATTTGAAGTTTAGATATATAATACCTAATATAGCAATTTTCTAAATAAATTATAACTCATGCTATACAAAATAGGCAAATGAAGTACATGGAATGCAATAGGTAATCCTTTCGCCTAAAATAAATGATGTAATAGTACCTATACATAATATGCGAACTACTGTAAAAACAGTAAAATTAAACCAAAAACACAAGATTGTCAATGTTTTGCCTTTGTCTATATAGGTGGGGTCATTGTCGTTTAATACATTAGGTCAAATGCATGGAAAAGAGCTTTTGCACTGTGTATCCCATGTTTAGAATTGTGTGTTTTGTGCAGTAGGAGAGTGTTTTGTCTCAATAATGGCATGGTGGCAGTGGTGGGGTTGTGTTTTGTCTCAATAATAATGGAATGGTTGCAGCGATGGGATTGTGTTTTGTCTCAATAATGGCATGGTGGCAGCGGTGGGATTGTGTTTTGTCTTGATAAATGGCGTGATTGCAGTGGTAGCTTGTGTTTTGTCTCAATAATGACGTGGTTGCAGCTGTGGGGTTGTGTTTTGTTTCAAGAAAGGCTTGATGGCAGTGGTGGGATTGTGTTTTGTTTTAATAAAGGTTTGATGGCAACGTATTTTGTCTCAATAATGGCATGGTGGCAGCGGTGGGATCAGGTTTTGTTACAATAAAGGTCTTATGGCAACGGGTTGACTGTATTTTGTCTCAATAATGGCATGGTGGCAGCGGTGGGATCGTGTTTTGTTTCAATAAAGGTTTTATGGCAACGGGGTGACTGTATTTTGTCTCAATGGCATGGTGGCAGCGGTGGGATCGTGTTTTGTTTCAATAAAGGTTTGATGGCAACGGGGTGACTGTATTTTGTCTCAATAATGGCATGGTGGCAGCGGTGGGATTGTGTTTTGTCTCAATAATGGCGTTGTGGCAGCGGTGGGATTGTGTTTTGTCTCAATAATGGCAGGGTGGCAGCGGTGGGATTGTGTTTTGTCTCGATAATGGCATGGTGGCAGCGGTGGGATTGTGTTTTGTCTCTGAATAATGGCAGGGTGGCAGCGGTGGGATTGTGTTTTGTCTCAATAATGGCAGGGTGGCAGCGGTGGGATTGTGTTTTGTCTCAATAATGGCAGGGTGGCAGCGTTGGGATTGTGTTTTGTCTCAATAATGGCAGGGTGGCAGCGGTGGGATTGTGTTTTGTCTCAATAATGGCGTTGTGGCAGCGGTGGGATTGTGTTTTGTCTCAATAATGGCGTTGTGGCAGCGGTGGGATTGTGTTTTGTCTCGATAATGGCATGGTGGCAGCGGTGGGATTGTGTTTTGTCTCTGAATAATGGCAGGGTGGCAGCGGTGGGATTGTGTTTTGTCTCAATAATGGCAGGGTGGCAGCGGTGGGATTGTGTTTTGTCTCAATAATGGCAGGGTGGCAGCGGTGGGATTGTGTTTTGTCTCAATAATGGCAGGGTGGCAGCGTTGGGATTGTGTTTTGTCTCAATAATGGCAGGGTGGCAGCGGTGGGATTGTGTTTTGTCTCTGAATAATGGTATGGTGGCAGCGGCGGGATTGTGTTTTGTCTCAATAATGGCAGGGTGGCAGTGGTAGCTTGTGTTTTTCTCAATAATGGCGTTGTTGCAGCGGTGGGGTTGTGGCATGGTGGCAGCGGTGGGATTGTGTTTTGTCTCAGTAATGGCATGGTTGCAGTGAAGGGTCGCGCTTTTTATAAATAGTGGGAGTAAACAGGAAGCAAATGAAAGAAGACGGGATGAAGTAAGTTGTAACAAATGTTTTACACCATAAAGTGTTATAATTAATTTCAGGAGTTTTTAAGAAATGTAAGCATTTGATATCCAAACTGACTATATTGGCCAAGTCCGATGATCAAAAGGATTTCAATACCTTGTGGACTTTGGCATGCCCTGAATATTTGTTGTCTTGATCTTGAACCTGTTTTGTACCATCAAAGTTACAGATATCTGACAACTCCAAACTAGATTTCTTGACACAATTCTAATCATAGTTCATGCAATTCTTCCTATTCATCTTCATACAATGTTCCATGACATACCAAACTTCATAATTGTTAAATTGACCTGCATTAAAATTGAAGAAGAAAGACCAGCTTTTCTTAGTCCAAACATACAAAACTCAGTATCTAAATTTGGTCGGTTAAGTCATGATCCGTAGTGCAATGTTCAAAACCATAAAACAGAATGGTGGCACCCAGATGTATCCCCTCTAAAGCCTCTGTATGATACAGCTTTGTACATTCTATATGATCCATTCTTCCATAGACAAGGCCGCTCTTTTGGTAAAATCCTGGCAGGTATGGTAGCAATCTTTTAGGTACACAGGTTCCTGTAATTCCTATCTGCGAACTTTCCAGTTAAGTATGGAATCATCCGGCTGTGAAAAAAAAATGGATACGGAAATGAAAGAGAGCCTCGTTTATTATGACCAGGAAGCAGTTTTGTCTTGATATGTGTAATGATTCGCTGATCTTTATCGAGACAGTAAAATATTCTTTCTTATTCCAGTACTGCTAGTAAAACATTTGGCATGATAGCGTTGAACAAGTCATGAATTCACCAATAAATCCTCAGTATTCATAATGAGTCGGGGTGATCACAGGTTAAGTGATTGGAAATACCTCGGCTATTATCGGTTCTATTCTTTTTTCTCAAGTCAATGCAAGTTTCGTTATATTTTCATCGATATTTCCAAGTGTACGGCCAACTTGTGTGAAATGCTTTTAGATGCTACAGTGGTGAACTGCTGCATGAAGGATATTCTGCAAGAGCATCAATACGAATATAGTGAGAGAACAATCAAATAACAGCCAGGGGAAAACCTAGCAATCCCATATAAGGGACAAGAGAGCAAACTATCGGACAAAATACTTACGTGCTTGACAATAACTCTCATGCATTTACATCTTTTATTTCGGAATCCATCAAAAGATTCCATCCTGGTGCCGATGTCATCCAGAAAGGTGTAGAGAGTGTCCTTGTTGAGGTGCTCATCACACTTAATCCTTTACAAGAATAAATGAAAATAAAATTAAAATGTAATCGATTTCAGCGTAATGAATAATGAAAAAATATAACATTGGGAGTTATGAACATTCGGAATAAAAATGGAGGTCATTTAGAAGTCATGATTTCAACATGATAACATTCTGGTAGACCCGGGCTAAATAAATTTACATAAAAACTTGTTGGCCTTTTTTTATAGTAATCAATCAATAATTTTGAAGCAGTGACCGAGGCCAATGTACAATAAACACGATCACAAAGCCTTTCAAAACAAATCAACTTAAGGGCAATTTAAGTACCATAATTTGTTTCACTTAATTAGAAATTTATTAAATTATGACTTTATGTCATTTTCATTTATAAAGGTTAAGCACAAGGCTGCTGATCTGTGGATATTGCCCAATTAGCTTGATATATCAATTTGCGATTGTGTTGATATGTGATTCAATTCAATTCAATATCGTAACAAATCTTATTTCATTAATATAAACTTTTGCAATAGGGATGCTCGAGGCACCTTGAGCTAATGGCTTTCATACATGGATACATTTTCATAGTTTACCAACAACGCAGCGAAAATGACATTTAATAGTAAAGTTTGACTTGACATAATTATTAACCTTAATTCTTTCAAAGTTCCAACACCCTTGCACGACTGTACAATCTCGACCAAGCCCTCATCTTCCGTCTTGATCTCGACCATGCAAAGTGTCTCGAGTTGAGTCGAGTTCTGTTGGACCGTACGCGCAAACTCCTCGCATGTCGCCTTCGATACGGTCGATCCGTTGATGTTGAGCAGTCCATTGATCTCCACCCATCTCAAAGTATGGCCGATCTGGCGAAGACTCCGGTTGATCCGTTCCATTGCCTGGTCCACGTTGTCGTCGTTCCCGATCCAGACCTCTAGATCCTTCACAGCTGGAAGACACTGGGAAATGTAGAAAGAAACTGGTTAATTCGAACTTTTTGTTTAGAGAATGGGGATAATCCTTGTATTTCATACAGGTTATGATTCGTTAGAGTAAAGCAATTGTTTTACAAGTATGATCATTGTTTATTCCTTAAGACAAAAATCACTGATCCTGGTGGAACAATGTTTCAATAATTTCATTTGAATACACCTGAAGTAAAGTGATCGCAACTTTTATAGCTTTGATACAGATATGGGGAAAATCAACTCTCTATATATTCATAATCAAATTAATACATCTATACATGTTTTCTGTTCTAATTACAACGCATATGCCTATCTTAATTCCGTCTTGGAGTATCATGGAACTTAAACACAGTCATAGTACATCGACGTTACTTCTTACTTAGGTTAGTACTTTTGTATGGGACCTGACCATCTTGGATCAAATTTCAGCTTGGAGTGATGTTCCACTGAGCTCATGAAAGATGCTTCAAAAATAAAAATGAAAATGTCAATAGCTTCATCAGAATTATTGCTTATTATACCCGTGTGAGATGGCTGAACGTCTCCTCTCGAAGGGACCAAGCCTCCAGTCTACGAACGAATTGAAGGCATGGAAGAGACTGACCACTAGCCAAGTTCACTGATGCGTTGTTCAGGTACAGGTTGTGGAGGTTGTCAAAAGAAGCCAGGCAAACCCACAATCGGGTTGTCATGGCAATCGAAAGATGTGTGCTGCACAAGGAAACGGATGTAATCTGCAAAATAAGAAGATTGAAATTAATCATGTAGTTGAACAGATGTGAGAGCCTTCTGCAAAGACCGAGTCACTTTATACTAACCACTTCCAAGAACCTATATACAGCACCACACCCTAATGGCGAAAACGTTATTAACTTCAATTCAATCACTTTTAATAAAGATAGACGTTTTATTTTTAACTATGGTGAATATTTCATGAAATAATTCTAAATTGTAATGAAATAATATTCACGGAGATGCTGGTTGGTATAGGGAGTCATTCTCTGTCTTTGCTTATAAATGTGCCATATCTATCGACTTTGTCGATCATGTTGTTCAGCAATTCTATGTTTCTAACATTTACCATTAGCTTCAACAACCTGGTCTTTGAGGGGATGTAGCTATAACATACTATATTTATTTCTATTATTGTAGGATAAGTCATGAATACTATGTCTTTATTGCCTATCCAATTTAGAGTTTCAAATATGGTAGTTGGCTCAAAGTTGTATGACACAATTTTGTTTGGCAACATTTTAGATCTGTGATAATGTAATTTGAGTATACCGCTGTCTTTGCAGCACATGGTAGTCTTTCCAAACCAATCATTATCACATCAGTAAGGGGGTAGAGATCCAGTTTGCCATCCCAGAAACACTTCCTCAAAGCACTTGTCACCCGGTCATCAACATAACTTTCATCTGCTTCTAAGAGACAGCGCAACACCAACCGACATTTGTAGAACAGGACAAAGTCCTTTACCTGATTGGCAATGTGTCTGAAGACGGCAAGGCAAGCTGGTCCACTTGCACCTGCGATGAAACAAAGTACATTCTCGAATTCAAGCGTTTTAGCTACCGTGTTCACATTTCTGGCCAACAACAAATCCAGTTTTGATGGGCCCCTGATTTTCGAAAAGCGACTTTCTCCGACAAGACCTAGTCGTCGCATGTAAACACTCGCGCAATATTCCTGTTCCAGTTTATGAAAGAATTCGACCGAGGTCTTTGATGTTTGGCGACTGACCAAGTGTTTGACAGCGATCCTAGAGGCAGAAAGGATTCCCATTTTTATGCCGGTTGCGTACGCATCACGATAATTTTTGAACTCTTCTACTTGAAACACGAGCTTTCTGCAATCGCTTTGAAGTCCATCATAGGCAAATTTGCCCAGATCATGAAGAACGTCTTCGACTGTTACTTTGTTTGGTAACAGTGGCGGTGCCTCTTTTGCTAACGCGTGTTGAAGTAAGAATTGGTTTATGTTATCAAAGAGACTCGTTATTGAGTTGGCGTTAGATAGAGCTTCCACTTCGTAAAGATGACACACCATGGTACAGAACAGTGGTACTCGAATCAAACTATCCAGAAAAGAATTATGGCTAAGATACTTGACGAGTTCTTCACCACTGTTGGAATTGGATCTTGCTTTAAAATAGCGTCTGATAAACTCGACTGATGAATCTGGGGTGAATCCTTCAATAGACATCTTGGTGTATGTTCTTGAGAGTTCTCCTTGTATGAAATCTCCCTCCAGATATGGTCGAGTGGTCACGAGAACTCTGCAGTTCTTAAACTTCTTGTTTCGGAGAACCTTAGTCAGACTCGTGATGGTCGACTTGATGCTTCCTTTGAACTCGTCGTATCCATCGAATATGAGAGCGCATGACTCTTGATGGGTCTCCAGAAAGTTCTCTACTGACTCCGATGTAACTCCAGGAACGTCACCTAGGAGCTGTGAAATGATGGCTTCACCCAGGTCCATTGATTCCTCAACTTCCCTCAGTTTTAAGACGAAGAGCGCCTTCATACCTTTCATAGGTGATCCATCGGTCTGATGCACCCAATCATAAGCCAACTTGGAAACTGTACATGTTTTTCCATGACCGCCAGGTGCCGTAAGTAGCATTCGTTTTGGGAACTGACCATCGATCTGTGTTCCGAATATACCGTTTACAGAACCTTCCAAGGGTGTCTTCTCAACCTGTCCTGTGCTTCGGTCAAACTTAAACAGACTAATATCCGTAAATAAGTGCTTAAGGTCAGCGAAGTCATTAGGGTCCCATGGCCTACGTTGTATTTGGCACAGGACGGTCTTGTAATGGTCTTTTAGCGTTTGAAGGCAGTAGTCGAAGGAAAACATTGGTAGAAGTGGTCGTGATTTCGGATCTAGTGAAGAATTTTAAAAAAAGAAAAAAAGAAAGACAAGCAATCTACATTTAGTATTCAATATATCTGACCTGGCAAAGCAGACCTATATTAGTCTGGCTTATAAAACTTTACGTAGTAAAATGTTTTTCTTAAATTAGCTCATATATAAATAATATTTTCATGTGGATTTGGTAAGAAACAGATTAATTTAACATTTTCAAACAGAGAAGCTACAAAAAAGAGTCAGATCTAGACTATCAAATAGAAAATGAAATTATGATAATTACTTTAAACATAATTTCTTAACGCATCTAGAACCCCCCCCCCCTTATATAGACGCTTATATAATGTTTTTCTTTAGTAAGGCGTTTGTGTGTACATTTCAATTCTCATGTATACCAAATAAAGAACCAACCACTTGTATGCTTTGTCTTCCCGAAGTACGCTTCAGCCAAGGAAACAAGGCTCGCTTCGAAGAGGGAGTCCCTCAACCTTGCAGGTTGGTCTGAAGGAGACACACCCTGACGCCAGGCGAACAGCATCTGTCTCGTTCCTGCACAAGTCACCTGATTACCCATGCGGTTGGTGGCCATGAAGCGATTGATTTGGGCTTGTTTGAAGCCAAGTGCACGCCCAAGGGTCTCGGCTTGCTCCTCGGTCTCGATGTCGCTTGCTAGCATAGCTAGGAAGTCATCACCGAGTTGAAGGGGAAGTTTCGTCATAGCTGGCCCTTAGGGTTGACACGTAAGAAAACACACAAATATTCCGTTTAGGTCAAATTATTAGGCTTGCTATAAAAATGTAATTTAAAGTGAAAATTCTATAAAATATTATCGAAGGGATACAAGAAACACTTTATGAGCAGCTGGTTTGTGCAGGTTCCTTTAAATACATGTTTCAGTGAGAAACTCTGCTCGAGGAAACCAAAAATCTGGTCTTTCTATAGGGGGTAACCTCGCTAGTCATAAGGACCGATATTCTTAAGGACCGCTATTCATAAAACGGAAAGGGGGTCACTATTCATAAAGGTATAAGGACCGTTTTTCGTAAGGACCGCTATTCATAACGTGAGATGAGGGTCGCTATTCATATTTCGCATTGAGGGACATTACCGCTATTCATAACACGAAATGATGGTCGCTATTCATAATGACATCGTATCATCAATAGGGACCCCTATGAATAATGACCCCGATTTTGTATTCTGACTAGAGACCCTCTTCTTCGATTATGAATAGCGGTCCTTATGAATAATGACCCTTATGAATAATGATCCTTTTGTCAAATTATGAATAGCGGTCCTTAATAGCGGACCGATGAATAGCGGTCCTTATGAATAACGTCCTTATGAATAGCGACCCCTTCTGTACAGGTGGTCGCCAAAGTAGATTTGACTGTATAAGAAAATTGTTTATGATGAGAAGAAGTTTTGCAAGAAAGGTGACATTTAACTTTCTTTGAGATGTATGTAAAGAAATGTTTTTGAATAAAACAAGAAAAAAAGAAAACCTTCAATAAGAAGAGGGCATTTAATGTCCGAAATATAACACCTATATCTGAGTAGAGAGCTGCGAAGCGGTGGCAGACAAAGCAATATAGATCGAGAAAGACAGATTGAGGCATTGTAGAGGTGTTATAAATATTCGTTGGATTGCATATGAGACAGTAGATAGATAGACGTACAAAAGAGAGATGAAAATGGAGGCATATATTAGCGAGTCCAATTTACCCGATCTTGAATTTTCTGCTAGATCGCTCGTTGATAGTCCATCCATATTGTCTCCATGAGCTGGTGTTGTTGCTGGAGAACTTTGTCTTGTTTCACAACTTTCCTCCATTTCCTCTGCAACATTAATCGTATAATATCAATAGCAAACATTAATAACGGTTGTATTTTTCTTCTTTTTTTTTTTTATTTTTTTTTTTATAGTTTTATTTTAACAGGGTGGTCTCATTCAAGTTCATTTCTGAGCCTGCTCTCCCAGAGAGCCCTGTATTCACATAAAAAACATGTACAATAATAACATGAATTCAAAACATACATACAAAGGTAAAATATACATGGTATATACAATAATTAAACATAGGTAACGAAAAACACGCATTAACAATAAATTATAAGGAAAAAAAAATACAACTATCAAATTGAAAAAACTAGATGAATGAAATGTAATAAATAAAGGTCAAATTAACGTGAAAATATGTTTACAAGGGAAACTGAAAGGTTTTGACATTCTTTTTAAAACTTTGCAGCGACTTACAATTTTTAATATGATAGGGTAATTTATTGTATATTTTAGCTCCTGAAACCGCTAAGGTTTTCGTTTTAAAATTTGTTTTACACTTTGGAATGAATAATGGACTGTTTAAAGCATAACGAGTAGAATATAATATCGGTCTTTTACTTATACATGGATTAAGATATGGTGGTGATAGGTCGTTTATGATTTTAAAAATCAAGATGCATTTCTGATATGTAATTCTTTCCTCTAATGACCGCCATTTCAATTTACTCATTAAAACATTTTGGGGTGTAAAATATTCGGCACGAAGAACTAATCGTGCATATCTATTTTGTAATTTTTGCAACTTTGTTAGATTTTGTTTCGAAGTATTTCCCCATACTGAATTACAGTAGTTTAAATGCGGTAGGATAAGAGAAAAGTATAATGTAATAAGATTCTTACGGGAAATATAATTGCGTATACGTCTAATGCAGGCAATCGTACCTGTGCCTGCCCGGACTACGACGACAAACAAACGAAAGCTCGCACGTGTTCTCATACTGGGTAAACAATAGTCAAAGCAACTTTATTGAATCTAGTCTCTTCATCATGGTCAAAGCTGACTCTTTGGCTTGCTGATTCACTTTGTTCCTTAGATTCCCGTAAAAACTATAAACAAACAAACAAATGAACAAAATCCAACATAAGTATATCATCATATCAAAGCATGTTACAGTGCAACTGCATTATAACGAGGCACTTGGGACGAGAGAAGATACATTGTTATAGGTAAAGTCTGCCACATCAGTGCCTTTAATAATAAGGTTCCACTGTATTATGAGTCTAAACATTATACTAAGGTGAATAACAATTAACTTCAATTTAAAGTAATTGGACTTAAATTATCATAATAGCAATACTGTCCAGTATTTAATACACTAAGTGTTGTGAAAATTAGAAGTAAACTCTAAACTGATATCCTACAAATAAGGAATAAAGTCTATTTGTAAACGTATTTAACTGTATACAATGGGTGTCGAAAACAGCTTAAATAGACAATGTAATTGCAAAAATGTTATGTGAGCAATAAATGTAATGTCAACCATCTTATATCAAGTTTTGGCGTATTTGAGTGCTTATTTCCTCAGGACTGAGGTTTGAGTTTAATCTAGTTGAGTTATCATTACACAATAAATTCGATACTGATTAAGAGTTTCTGTATATTTCCATACAAACAAATATTCATAATTATAGTACTACACAAAGACCTGCACACTGCACTATGCATACAATGCATCAATCTGATACACGAGCTATTGAAGTTCTACAGTAGGATAACACTGATTGCTGCATGCATACTGAGCGAGTTCTCTTGAAATTAAACCTAAAAGTTCTATTTATGCTTACCACTGTGCCACTTGTTACCAAAGTCTCAGGCAGGCATAAATAATATGCCGATTAACGATGCAATTCCTTTTCCATCGCCATAACGTGCCCCAGTTTTGGGCCAAAAATTACAATCTTCGCAGACGATAAAATTATGGAATGCCAAATAGACAATTACAACCGCACGGTGTATGAAGTGCCTTTACACTCCCACCAAAATTGCCTTCACTGGTAACATAATCACATGCATGAGTACACTTACATATATATGAAAATGCATTTACTAGTATTACATAAGTGGTGCATGTGAAATAATGTGACCATAATATGGAAATTTTTAAGCAAGCACTCCATACACCTCTTGCATGTAAATTGGTACACTTGCAATCTACAACACGAATAACATGGCAATTGAATAGCTTGATCAAACCAGAATGGCATAAGTGATGATGCGGAACTCAAACAATGCACGTTTATAACATGTGCTGTAAAAGATTATAACACACACTGCAAAGGTTGTAAGGCAAGCTTAAAGGTTGCGACAATATTTAAGCGCTGTGTATCTAAAATTCGCAGCAAACAAGATCAGAATTTGAGTCCTAAATTTTTAAACTGTACCAGAAAACGAAGTACATGTGCAAATGCAAGGTCAAACATTTGTACCCGCTCCAAACAATCTCAAGTGTACATACATACCTGCTCTATGGAGGTACCTTTTCCAGAAGCAGTACGAGCTTCTGAACCGGCCTCCGGTATTCGGCAAGCTTCTTGTTTGGACGACCTTTGTTGTCAAGGTCTTTCGTTCCAACGCGCACCTGTACCCGTCTGACCAGACCATCTTCATCAGGAGTGGCTTCTGCGACCATCGCAATTGGCCATTTCATACGCGGAGCTTCATCGTCAGTGAGCAATACAATGTCTCCCACTTGTAAATTCCGTCTGGGCATCGTCCATTTCTGTCGTCTTTGAAGTCCCAACATGTACTCTTTCCGCCATCTTGACCAGAACTGTTCCAGTAAGAACTGAACCCTTCTCCAGGCTTTACGCGTGTACACATCCTCCTTCACAAATTGCCCAGGAGGGGGCAACGGAACCGTCCTCTTCAGAGTAAGGAGGTGGTTTGGCGTGAGAGGTGCATCCGCACTTGGGTCATTCAAGAATTGTAGGTCATTCTGAGAGCATGCTTTGTCCGGCGATTTGTCCTCTGCGAAATCTGTCTCAAGCAACCCTATGATCTCTTTTGGCTTCGGAAATGGTATCTCGCGAGTAGAAACCCTCCCACACTGGCTACTGAAGTCCATGGCATTCTCTTCTTCGGCAAAGCCAACAATACTCCAGCCGAGGTCAGTTCGAATAGCAAATGGTTCTACATCGCTACCAGTAACTACTTGTCTTGGTGTCAGAGCTCTTGGGCAATTATAGCCTATCAGTAGGCCGATTTCGCATCTCTGAAGTGCTGGCATCTCTCTTGCAACATCTTGGAGATGAGTCCACTTCTCAGCAGTACTTCTGCTTGGGATGTGTTCTCTATCAGTCGGTATGAAGTCACGCGTATAGCACTTTCCTATCTTGAGCTGGGAGGGCGACATCATACCTCTAACTAAGATACTTGAAGTCACGCTGCAATCAATGTTCGATGACGAAGTTATAGTAGATAACTTTAAGCGTATGGGTTGCTGCTTAGCATTCAGGGCTTGCGCTACTTCATCTAGAATGAACGATGAATCACTCTGGGTATCCAGGAGGGCGTAAGTCAGAATCTCTGACGATGGTGCTTGTTCTGCCGCGACCCACACTGGTACAATCATCGAAGTGCTAGCTTGTTTTCCAGAACGGACTTGGCAAGACGTAGCCATGTCCTCAGAAGCTCCTTCACTCTTGTGCGCATTGTCCTCTCTTATCGTAGGGTTTTCCTCATGAAGAGCCGTGGGATGGCGCTTACCACATGTACTACACTTCAGCCTTTGTTTACATGCCTTAGAAAAATGCCCCTTCTGTAAGCAACCAAAGCATACATGATTTTCTTGAACAAACTTCCTGCGTTCAGAAAGTGGCTTGGCCAAAAACTTGTCACAGTCCTCGGAATTGTGTCCAGTTTCACTACACAGGCAGCAAGGTTTTGGAGCCTTCTTGACTTGGTTTGGGATGTTCTTGCCTTCGGCACTTTCCTTGGTGTTGACAGCCAAAGCAGATCCCTTATTTCTTGCTTCTCGCTCGATCTTGGAGGTCTTGGGACTTGATTCTCTTTGAGAGTCCTCAGATTTCAGGGCACCTAGAGAAGAAATGGGATTGTTGGCTATCCTTGCCTCCTTAGCAACAAATTTCACAAACTTAGAAAATGAAGGATAGCTGCCGCCTTCCAACTCATCTGATACCACCCTATTCCAGCTACTAATCAGCCAGTCTGGAAGTTTGGCTATCATCTTTTGATTCTCATAGCAGTCGTTTAGCACCTGGAGGCCAGTGACATATGGCATAGCATCATCACAAGACTTTAAGTAGTCCGCAAACTTCTGAAGACCTATGGCATCTTTGGAGGATATCTTCGGCCAAGCACTTAGCTTCTTCCGGAACGCTTGTTGGACATTAAAAGGATGACCATACCTCTGTCGAAGGCACCTCCATGCCCCATCATATGCCTCTTTGGAGTCCCCGAAAAAGAAACCTTCCACCGCCTCCCTTGCCGGACCAGTCAGGTACTGCTTCAGATAATACAGCATCTCTGTTGGTGGTATGCCACGGTTTTCGATCAAAGTCTTGAAACCTTTCTCGAACTCTATAAACTCGAGCGAATCCCCACTAAAGGTGCGTGGCACTGGCATCGGAAGTCTTGTGTGGTACATGTTGTCTGCTAAAGCCTTACATAAGCCCTGGACGTCAACCGACGTTGTCTGAGGCGGCTGTAGTGGTGTCTTGTCGCGAGGTTCCACATGCGAATCAGGTAGACTATCATGTAGCTGGCCTACTCTAAACTCTGGGCCCATCTCATCTTGAAGGGAAGGAGATGACGTCTTGGCAGGAAGTTCTGCTGACTGCCCTTGAATACCTTCAGGTGGTTGGTTTACTCCAACTCCTGGGTACATTTTGTCTTGAGGAGGAAGTGATGGTGTGTTACGAGATTCTACAGGCTGTCCAGGATTGCTATCAATGTCAATTACTGGTGTGGCTCCACGCGGTTGGCTGGTTTCAACCCCTTGGTCCATTTCGCTTAAAATTGAGCTGAAGA